TCTGTAGAATCAAGGATGGTTAGACCAGGTAGAGGATTACACAGGATTGGTTTATTACACACAACTATAGGTGCAGCCATCACACCATGGCTCAGGTAGTGAATACAATACAACGTAAAGGTCAAATACAGAGGTCAAAGAGATGTGAACTCATTTGCATAATGCATACTCTACATCCTCCCTTTCAAGATATGTCGAACTTCATACAATTGTGAATTTAAAATCTTTTCAAGTTCAGTTCATATTTGTTAAAGAGTTCATTGCTCAAGTTCATTGACTTCATAATAATAAGCACATAAATATGAGAATCCTGTGATAATCGATTTTGTTATTTATATATTGTTTTGTTTGTTTTTTCTGTTTAACGAATATATTATCATAAATATACACATTTTTTTCTTTATTTTTTTTATTTTTTTTTTATGGAGAAGAGGTGGACTGCTCTTCTTCCAAGCCAAAAAGCTGAGGTTTATTCTGCCTCCTAAGCTTTTTAAGCTTGATCTAAACTAGTTAAAAATTGTAATATCCTATACAACATAATCTCTGTACTTGGGATTTGGTCTGACAGTACGACCGTAATGTGTCTTACAGGTGATGTAGATATATCATTTTGAACATGTTCATTGTTATCTGTATGGATTGTGTTCTCAGTTGATGTAGTAATGGGTTTTTTATTTGGTATGCGGATTTCATCAGGTAATTCACTCTCATGAAATTCTTGTTTAGGTGAAGGTTCAGTGACTGGTAGAATGTGACGACGATTTCTTCTCAGTTCTTTGTTTCCTACTTCAACAATGTAGGATCCGGATTGTTGGAAATATGTTTGACTAATCCTAAGCGATTATAGCCATTTGGGGTTTGTAACCGTACTGTTTGGTTTGGCTTTAATAAGTGGTGTTAGTGCTTTAGCTGATTTGTCAAAATGCTTCTTCTTTTGTCCATGCTTCCTGCTCAGTTGTGATGAAATCTTTCTTGAATTCTTAATGTGTGTATTTAGTAGTGGTTTGCTGATCGGTACTGAAGTGCGCGTTCTTCTTGACATTAATCGTTGAGCTGGAGATCCTAATGTATTATCACTAGACACATTGCGAAGATTTAATAAATTGAGATACAAATCGGATCCTTCTCGCTCTGTTTTCTCTAGAAGTTTTTTAGCGCTCTGTACTGCTCTTTCCTCAAGACCATTTGACTGCGGATATTCAGGGCTACTTGTTATATGGTTAAAATTCTATTCCTTTGAAAACTGTTTAAACTCTATACTTGCAAATTGTCCTGCGTTATCTGAAATAATAGTGTGAGGGATACCATGTACTGTGAAATGTCTCTTGATTTTACTTATCACAGTCCTGGATGTCATATTACGCAGCGTGTCCATTTCAAACCATCTCGAGTACGAGTCCACAAGCACAAGATAATGTAGACCATTCCATTGAAATATATCTGTTGCTACTGTTGACCATGGTAGATCTGGTACAGGATAAGATTTTAGTGGCTCTTTCTGTTGGTGTGCTCTCAAGCTATTACACACAGCACAGGAAGACAATGCCTTATCAATGTCGTCAGACATGCATGGCCAAAATACAATATCTCTGACTCTGCACTTAGTTGCTTCAACTCCCGGATGTCCTCCATGTAGTAGAGCTATGTATTTGGCTCGTAATGATGTCGGTATAACTAATCTAGGTCCTTTCATTACAAGACCATCATCAATTGTGAGTTCATCACGGAACGCATGGTAAGATCGAATTTCAGGCAAAAGCTTCTTGTACATTGGCCATCCGTGTTGAATTACATTAGTTAGCTTTCTTAGAGTGCTATCAGTACTTGTCTCAATCTTTAATTCAGCTAATCTTTCATCTGATATTGGCATGATGGTCATTACATCAAATTTCATGTCTTCTGAATCACATTGCACAGTGTTACTGCATGGAGCTCTGGACAATGTATCAGCTAAGTATAATTCTTTACCTTGTTTATACACCAGTGTTATGTTAAACTTTTGTAGCAGTAACGTCATTCGCTGTAGGCGAGCTGGTGCTGAATGAAGTGGTTTGCTCATTATGGAAATTAGTGGCTTATGATCAGTCTCAACTGTTATCTTTTTCCCCGTAGACATAATCATAGAACTTGCAACATGAAAATACAACAGTCAACAATTCTTTTTCAATTTGAGCATAGTTTCGTTTCGTTGGAGTCATCATTCGAGAGGCAAAAGCTATTGGCTCTCCATTTTGTAAGCATGCTGCTCCCAATCCAAATTGTGAAGCGTCACATGTTAACGTGACTGGCTTACAAACATCATAGTACTTAAGAGTTGCTGGGCTAGTTATAAATTGTTTCAGTTGTTCATATGCTTTCTGATGCTGATCAAGCCAATATCATGTTACATCATTGTGTATCAACTCGTACAATGGTGCTGCAATTTCACTAAGGTTATTGATGAACCTTGATAGATAATTGATCATACCCAAGAAACGATGCAGGGCAGCTGGACCATCTGGAACAGGCATATCGTTGATCGCCCTTACCTTCTCCTACATAGCTGACTTGTTTCAAACAGAACTTGCATTTATCAGGATTCAGCTTTAAGGAGACTTGTCTAGCCCGATCCAATACTTGCTTTAAGTTATCATCATGCTCATCATTACCATTGCCTGCTACAAATATATCCTCTACAATTATTTCGCATGGATATCCAGCAAATATCTGTTCCATTGCACACTGATAGACCTCAGATGCTGAATTTATACCATACAGCATTCGAAGAAATCTGTACCTTCCATATGGTGTACTAAAAGTAGTAAGCAATGAGGATTCTGTATCTAGTGGTATTTGCCAAAATGGACATTTTGCATCCAGTTTCGAAAACACGGTAGCATTTGCCATATTTGCTGCTACCTCTTCCACAGTGCGCATAGGATAGTGTGGACGCTGAATTGCTGGAGGTACACTCGGGTCGACTTTCATTTTGTAAAAACAAGACAATTTACCAAGATCATCATTGAAAAGGTCTGAGTAATCTTTGAGAATAGATTCGGAGAATGATTGTACAGTTTCTATTTGATGAACTTCTTGGCCAAGTGAGAATAAATGCATTCGTAGGCAATCTTGTGAGCCAAGTAGTGGTTTGATATTCTTGTCAACAATGTGGAATTTCAAATTGTAAGTATGGTTACCACTGCAACATGTCAAATTTGTGGTTCCTACAGTGTTCATACTATCACCTCCATATGCAATTAATTGTACTCTTTTACGTGTATCAATTTGTTCTTTATGTCCTGCACACACATGCTGATATACTCCCATGGGCAAGACATTACATTTAGCACCTGTGTCAACTTTAAAGTCAACACGTCTGTCATTAATATATACACAACTATGGATTTCATCTTTGTTTGCAGCAGAATTCATACCAATAGTTTCTATGTCAAAATCTTCAATCACAAACTGATACATGTCATCATCATATTCTTCAACTTCATGAATTGCTCTGTTGAACCCACGATTGTTTCCACTAGATCGACAGCATTTCTGAAACGATTCATTTATGGCAACTATG